TATTTTCAAATATAATTGTACAAAGTTTTATTTAATTATTTTAATTTTTTATAAAAGTAAATCAGAGCTAAAAAAGTACAAAAACGCAGGCAAATTTGCCTGCGTTCTATTACAATCTAAGGAATATATAAATTACTATAAATGTAAAAAAACTTTTCTAGTGATTATTCAAAGAAAACTTTTTTGTACTAAGTTAATTACCTTTGAGTCTTTAAATAAAATTGTAGAGCTCATTGAAATGAATCTAATAATAGTTAGATTATTAAAATTGATTTAGTAGATACCAAGATATCTTTAAAAAACATTTTATTATTTATATAAAATTTTTTAAAAACAATACAAAAAATTTTTAAATAGTTATTAAAATGTTTTTCAAAGATATCTTGGTATTAACTAGGCAAATTTAGATAATTTAACTACTATTAAATTTATCTTAATCAGCTCTACAATTTTATTTAAAGACTCAAAAATAATTAACTTAGTACAAAAAAGATTTTTTGAACAATTACTAGAAAATTTTTTCTTTTATGTCTATAGTAATTTATATATAGAACTACATTATTATTCTATGATTATTTTTTAGTTTACTAAAAAATCATCAATTAATAATAATCTAGAAACTTATTAATGCCACCTCCCATTTTTGTTAATACCACCCTCTATATAGTTCTAATTGGTCTTTAATCTTTTCAGAACTCCATTAATTACATAAATTCATACTGTTTCTAAATACTATTTTTAAAATTTTCAAGATTTAGACCAGTTAGAGTTATATAGAGAAATAGTATTAACAAAAGTAGAAAGTGACATTAACAGTTTTCTAAATTTAAAAAATAAAATAATAATAAAAATAAAATAATAAATATATAAATAATAAGCAAAAATTAAAAAAATACTGTAATAAAAAAATATGTATAAATTAATAAAATATAATTTAAAATGATAATAATTAAAAAAAAAACCTGATTTTGCAATTTGATTGCTTGATGTTACATAAGCTTTTGTATACTAAAAACATCTAGCCTTTTCAAAACACACTGTTGGATAAACTGTTAAATTTTCTCAGAAAGAGGTAATGTATATAAATCTGACAGTTTACCTGGGTAATTATTATGATATTTATAATAGTACTTTAAAGTTACCATCATTGAATTAATGGGAAGCACAACTTGAATATAGCTTTTGTACCTGCATTTTTTTGATTCTTTTTGTGCCAATTGTAACTTTTTATTAATGTCTTTTCCAGCAACACTTGTATAAGATTCATAATGATGACAATGCCATCTTTTGCTCCACATGTTTTTTTCTTTGCTCCTAAACTAGCTTGATGATCATGTTAACAATAACTAGGACTGCTTTTTCAAGGTTTTTGATCCAGTCTTCATATTTATCCACTGAAAAATAATAGATTTTCACCTTTTCTTTTTATGAGCGATTTCCCATGCTTGACTGACACCGTCTGTCGCACCTAGAACACAGTCAAACATGTTATCAAGCTCATTATTGCTTATGTCCATATTGTCATCTTCATCAATATCAAAAATATTATTGATATTAGGTGAAATTGACATTATGAATAAAAACGAAAATGCAAAATATAGAATAAACGAAGCAATTTTATTTCAATAACTTAATATAAAGTATAATAGAATATTATTATTTTTTTTAATAATACCGACAAGATATTTTAATTTGAAAAAATAATTTTATATAACGTGCTGTATTTATTGTTATATGTATTAAAAATTCAAAGAGTTTCTAAAAACACAAACACCCAAACCGATTTAACAGATCGTGAAGAGTCACTAAATTAAAGAGAATTGCCAAACGTTAGCATTAAAATTTGAAAAAAATAAAAAAAAATTAATATGTAATTATATATTACGAAATAACGAAATAAATTAAATTCGGAGCGTGGCGCAAATCGATGACTACACCGGGGACTATCCAATGATAACGAGAATTTGTATTCGACCTAGAGTTTGAAGCCGGGTTTATTTTTCATACGCTAAAACCGGTTTTAAACGGTTTTAACATATAAAAAATAAAAACGGTTCCAAACTCTATCGCTATTGGGCTTTAGTGTGTCGAAAGTGCATCGGGGTACGTCGAATGTAACCCAGGTTCTCCTAAAGAAAGCTTTTTCCTGCGTTGCGAATACAAAGTAAAATTTCCAATTATATAATATAATTGGAAATTTTACATTGTATTCACAACGCAGGAAAACAGGTAAATGTTAAAAATCATAGTTGATCAGACCTCTAATTTTCGGATATTATGCCGGATTATAATCCTGGGCATTCTTATAGGGAGTATACTTAAACACTACACACTGATAAATCCCCTTTTACTTAAAAAATTGATGTCTTCACGCCGAGGTGATCGTTCGCGATCAGAATCTCCTCAACGAAAAAAACATCATTCAATACGGGATGAGGACGAAGAACACATAAAATCCAAAAAGGAAAAAAAGCACAAAAAAAAAAGTAGTCATAAGCGACAACGGTCCGAGAGTGATTCAGACGATGCATTAACTAAATTACCTAAAGGAATAACTCGTGTGTCCTCTTTTTTTATTAGTATATTCGAAGAATATACTTAAATCTAATTTAAACCTTGAAATAGCTATTTCGGAGGACGATTATTTTACAAAATCAGCAGAATTTCGTACTTGGCTTAGAGAAAAAAAAGATAAATTTTTCGATGAATTGTCTTCTGAACAGGCTCGCCGATATTTTAAGAAATTCGTCAGTGCTTGGAATAAATACAAATTAAACAGTTAAGAATATATCATCATTGATAGTTTTTGACCGCGCAATTTTATTTTTATTAATTTATTTTTTTGTACTTTAGAGAAATATTATGATGGTATGAGATCATCACAACTGACGAGCTCAGAGACCACACGATATAAATGGAAACATTTGAAAGTTAATCAGCATGAACTTGATGAACTTGATACTATCAAGCATTCAGTAGACCGACAAACAAATGTAAAATTCGCGTCCGAAGTACAAATAAGATCAGGTGGAATTAAAAATGAAGTCCCTAAAAGGATCATTGGTATTATATCTTAAAATAATGTTAAACACAAATTGCGACTATATATTTTATCTAATTATCTAAGTAAATTCTTATTACAGGTCCGTCTATGCCACCTGTTCGAGGGTCAGTTGAATATAACGAAGGTGAGACGGTTCTCAAGGGTTGTATACAAAAGTTTCTAGTTAGCCTTAATGTTCATCACATCTCCGAGACCCATAGATATGGATCAAGAGGACAAAGAGCGGTATGAACGAGCACTACGAAAAAAAGATCGTAAGAATTTTCAAGCAACACATAACATGGTTCTTGAGGAATTAGTGCCGAAGGCTACAGGTATATTCGCCATCATTAGAAAATTTGTGATCGCATAAGATTTATATATATATATATATATTATTATTATTTTCCTTTAAGGTAAAGAAGCTTTAATAGAAAAGAAAAGAGCTCGAAATAATTATTATAGAAGGGAAGCAAGCCCAGATATTGAACTGAATGAAAGTGACCTAATGGGCGGTGATGACTATGAATCTAGGTAAGTTATTATAAACATTTAATGAGGTATACTTTGTTGAATATTTTATTATATGAGTTTATTATATGAATGTCGTTAAAAGAAAACCCGAAAATTTAAATATAAATCATATTTAAATTTTCGGGTTTTCTTTTAGCGACACTCATATACAGGAACACCATTTTGATCTGTGATTATGGTTTTAGGCGTAAAGCTCAACAACGAGCTAAAGATTCACGTGAACAAAGGAAACGAGAATATAATGCAGAAAAGGCGGCAAATATGCAAGAAAAGGTTAATGCGTATCATTCAAAAGAACAAGAAACTATGGAAATGTTTAGACAGATGGCAGAACAGCAAAGAAAATCAGGGGGTGGGTTGTGGGGCCAGCCAAATTTGTGAATGAATTATCGTTCATATTACGTTTGCATATTATTTGAATAGTAACTTTTTTTATTTCGTATTCAAAGCAAATAATAAGAAAGTTAGTTTATGAGTAATTTAGTTTGGATATAATAAATCGCAATTATACTAGAGTTCTGTAAGTTTCGACACACGCACTATTAAAACAGTATCCGTGCTAGTGCCTGGCACTGTTTGAATAGTGAGCGTGTCAGCATTTGCATAACCCTAATTTACACTTACATTTGATAGCCGTTATTTGTTGATTATAAATAATTCAAAATAATTGATTATGGTATTCGACAAAACATTATTTTGCTTAGAACCGCTTTAATATTTGAATGGAACGTTAAAAATACCGTAAATGATTATAAACAATGTTTGGATTAGGTACATTTCACCAATTTTAAAACCCTAATAGGTCAGGTATAACAGATGGCTAGAAAGTCAAAATTTGAAATGTATACACACTTTGCATTGATAACATGCAATCTAGATTTTTGAACAGAATTGAGATCCTGAAATCCGTACCCGGATCTAGTACATGGGTCTATTAACAAGGAGAAATTTTTATATGGCCATTATTATAGTTGCTATCTTAAGCATATAATAGGTTTAAATTAAATTTCACTGCAGCACTGTATAGCGATAGTGACAAATTTTAAAGTGATATATATATTGTAGTACAGTATATTGTATAATTAAAAGATTTGTAATTGCATTAGCAAGATTAAGACAGGAATATATATCCAAATACGTATTCAAAGCTTACCTAAGCTTAATAATTTTTATATAAATAGTGATAGATTATTTATATCCCCATATGTTTGTCATGTTTATGTATCTGAAAGTCATGCGAAAAGCATGGTGGAAAGAGCAAATTTCCATGACAGAAATACCGTTCTGCACTGCCTTTAGTACCCAGGTCTTATCAGGAAAGAAGAGTATTATACATAGCAATATATTCATGAGTATTTAACCAAGAATGGGTACACAAGCTGGGATAAGTGACATGGTGGTATTATGCTTCGATATTTTCAATTAAATCTTTAAATCTTAATACCCGGATCTATACGATTTGTAGTATTTGAAGGGGGGGTATTAAATAGGGGTTACTAAAGGCTTATTTTTATTAGAAAGTTAAAATAAAATAATTTAATTAATATATATTTAATTTTTACAGAATTTTGATAAAAAGATAATCTTATAATATTTTACCTAATCAAATTTTGTAAATTTTACAAGTAAAATAATTGAATTTGGCTAGATATGTGTTAATATATACATGATTTTTATTTTTAACATTTCCTAAATCAAATAAGATTAATAAAAAACTTATTAGCTATGTTGTACGTAAGTAGGAATGGAATTATAATAGGGTTCGGAATCCACTTAGGAATTGTTGTTAGTGGGAACGGAATCATAATAGAGTTCGGAATCCACTAGATTAGAATGGAATAATTATACTTCCATAAACACTGTAGGTTTTTACGTAATGTTTTATTATTATTATTCTATACCAGCACCTAAGTATGATGCAATTATATTTATGTACACGAACATAAACCAATAGACCGGAGAAATACTATTTTATTTAAAATAAAAATGATAATTTAAAATAAAAATGATGATATAATCTATTTATCCAATAGATATCCAAATAGATATCCAATAGATATCCAATATGAACCAATAAAATTTTGTCATTTCGAAGTTAATATGCAAATTGAAAATTAATGACAATGTACAAATGTTTACAAGATAATTAATTGTTAATTAACCAAAAGTAAATAAAATGTATTGTCGCAACGATACAATTTTTGATTCATTTTATTATAGATATCGTAGTAATTGAAATTAAATATCCAAGGTCGAACTGTATAATAATACTTAATTTTTTTGCTTGAATTTTATTACTACGTATTTCGTTTACAAAATATATTATACGTATAGAAATATATACAGTATATACACGTAATAACGATAAATAAATCATGCCGCAGAAAACTCCCACGATTAATTTAATTAATTTGTACCACTTTGTCAATGTACCGTTACGTGCATAAAAGTGTAATCTAAATATAGAAAGCTCTTACTTCTAGAATAGCTTATATTCCGCGAGTTATTAATTATATGTAATTGACATTACTAAAAAGTAAAATTCTCGGGAATCAACATATCGATATTGTTTAACCTAACTTTCAAATTTGTATTGTGAGTACAGTTATCTGTTATATATATATTTGTACGAACATCCACGAATACGTTGAAAATCTGGGTCATAAGGCATTTGAATTGACGAGCGTTACAAGAGCAGGTGAATGTGAAATTAGCAATTGTTTTGTATCAGATTAGGTGATCATGGGACTAACTAACGTTATAACGTTAACGTATACAGTAAAAGGGGTTAAACAATCTATTTAATATTTAATATATATAGACATACATAAATGTATATGTATATGTATATATATACATACACATATACTGTATATTGTTTATAAATATCCTTTGCGAGCTGAAGTTAAGCTAACACTAATCGAACTTTAACATTTAATGGGCCCTTGATTATCATCAGAGAACCATCACTTTAGTGGTTGGGTAAAAAAAAATATTTAAAAAACCTATCGAAATCTTTTATTCCTTCAACGATAAATATTTGATCTTGGTAAAAGGTAACTAACAAATCATAGCGATAAATTTACTGTTTCTATCAATAGAAACTCTACTATTATCATCAGCCTATAAAATTTTGCAGAAACTCCATTAATGCTTCCAATTGTGTTTTGATTTAATAAGATGATGACGTTTTGGCGTTTTATCTTTTATAGAATATCGATATTATATATATGTGCCTTCTTTCCTTCCTTGGACTGTGCTTTTTAACTTTAATAATCAGCTTGACTTAGAACCCCTTTTTTAATGCACTTGTCCATTTACAATTTATAATAATTCTCCACATTTTTTATTTTTCCATCGTCGATTGATGATTCTTTTTTTATAGGATTACCGAAAAAAAACCCCGATTTTTGTTATTATTGAAAAATGGATTCTGTCGTTGGATTTTGGGGCGAGCCGACTGCTACAAGTATGTATGAAATCATTCTATTCTTTTTTACTAATAAATTCTCATCTTATTCCTCTGATCTTCTAACTAGTTGGTAAGTATTACAAATCATATTTCACTATTTTAAAATTTCCGGCTCGTCGTGCACATCCATATTAATTTATTAGTTGATACCGATATAAATTCATATGATGATTTCACGTAAACTAGACTGGTGTGAGAGAAATTATGAAGTAACTCATTATATTGCTGAATTTTTCAATACTATTTCTTCCTTATGGATGGTTTCTGTCGGAATATTTGGGCTTTATAAGCATTCGAAAGGCTTTGAAACTCGATTTTCTATATGTTTTGCTTCGTATGTATAGTTATTGTATATTTTTTGTATATTTTTTGTATAGTTTTTGTATATTTTTTGTATATTTTTTGTATAGTTTTTGTATATTTTTTGTATAGTTTTTTGTATAGTTATTGTATAGTTATTATTATTATCTTTAACCACCTTCAATCTCGGAAAATGCTTACTTATTCCGTTTCTAATTTACTAAAGGATAATTGTGGTAGGAATTGGTTCGATCCTATTTCATGGCACGTTACTCTTTTCCTTACAATTATTCGATGAAGTACCAATGATGTTTTGTGTCTTGATGTTGTGTTATTCGGTATTCGAAAATCAAAAAGAGAAAAGATTCGGAAAGTGGTTTCCTATTGGATTGACTCTTTGGGGTCTGCTTATTACTACGATTATGGTCTTAAGTGGAAGTGATCATCAAGATAAAATGATGCAGTTAATTGAATTTTATGTTTTTCAAGGTATTATTTTAATTTTATCTATTATAACAGTATTCATGCTATATCAAATATATAAATATATTTTTTATATTTATTGACTTCTTTTTCATCTAGGAACTTTCGTAATAATGGCTGCATGCGTCTATATACATACTTTATTTATCGTATTTGATCCAAATATTGAAAAAGGTGTTCGTAAATTATGGTTCTTGGGAAGCGTTATATTTCTAATCGGCTATATTGGATGGCATATTGATTTGCATTTTTGTAGTAACATGCATCAATTACCATTCGACGTGCCTAATCCTCAACTACATGCTTGGTGGTAAGTTTTGTAAAATTTATTTATCCATTTCTATTTTAAACCTAATTCTTTTTTTTTTTTTTTTTTTATAATAAGGCATTTAACGGCTTCGTATGGAAGTTATCTAATATGTGTAATCGTAACTTATAATGGATCAAAAGTATTGGGTAAGAAACCGATCTTACGATGGATATTAGGTGTTTTACCATACATCGAATTGCCCGAATCCGGTAATCTGAATGAGAAATCTTTACTCTATGAAAACGAAAATGGTGAAAAGGGTTCAAATTATGGTACCATCAATAATTCTGGTCATGATGTTAAAAAAGATGCTGAATTTGAGAAACATGTTAATTCTACTACTAACTAAATAGTAACTAAATAGTAACTAAATAGTAACTAAATAGAATAATCGATAAACTGCAATAATCCTTCAAAGTTTGTAAAACTAAGAAATTATTATCTCTTTTCTAGAATTACATATTCCTTTCTTATTTTGCAACGTGTCGGCACACTATGTAAATTGTCGTAGATTTAGATTCTTGTTTAGCAATAATAGTACATATAAAAAATTTTTTTATTAATTAATTATATATATATTTTATACAACTTAATTTAAGAGGGGAGGGTCAATATCACGTATATATACTGTAAAAATTATGATTGGATGCTAATTCGATCACTAGGTTGACTTTCTAATATAAAGAAATTACGTAACAAACGACGCTCTCCTAATTACTTAAATATATACTATATATATACTGTAGTGATATGGATTAATTTTTAGATTTTTTTTATTTTATTAATTATACATATATATAGTACGTATTATTATAGTTTTATAGCAGTTAGTCTTTTAGTATACATATACTGTATATAGTTAGTTTATTACATATCACGGGCTAGATTACACAAATCTACAAATCACGATCCAGAGAAAACTCTAAATGCATCCCCTCGGGACTATAGTAAAATTTTTCAAAAATGTACACTTAGTAAAGTGCACTTAGGGAGGTCTCTTTTAGCCTAAACAGCCTAGGTATTACGACATTACGACCTAGACAATCTAAACATCCTAAAATAATATATATACAGTATATATAGTGCAATAACGTTCTAAACATCCTAAAAATCCTCTTGCAAAGTTGTATTTAAAGGCTTGTAAAATTTCTTAGTTCGATAATCCACTAAATAATAAAATCATCGAATTCCTCTAAGTAAAACCTAGTACTCTCGATACTAATCATATAATTCGATATAATCTTGATAGATTATAGGGTACAAAATAATTTATTTATCTAGATGATTTTTTTTAAAAAAACAATATAATTAAGATTAAAAAAAATATTACATGTATTTTTTTGTTAGAGCCTCAAAGGTGGTCTTATAAACAAAATTTTAAAATACTGTATACAGTATTTATTATTATTTTTTGATTTTATTTTATTATATATGTATAAAGATTATTAATCTACAAATTTTATATATTTATTAGTTAATTTAGAAAATAAACTTTTGGTTTAAATAATAAATAAATTTATTCTAAAATTTTTATACAGTATATATACTTGTTTATATAACATACATTACCAAATATTATTTTTGATTTGATTTTAATAACAGTTACAAAAAATCTCAATACTATATATACTAATTTTTAACATTGTTAGCAAATTTTTTAAAGCTAAAAATTTGCTAAATATATTTTGTATCTACTTTTGCTTATTTTTTATAACCTTTATTTTATTATTTTTTTATTTTAATTGTCTAAATTGCAATAATAAGTGCTTGTTATTGGTTAGGTTGTGGATGATAACTGATTTATCGTTAGGTTACTATATAAATCACATGGCTTCTCACATAATTTATATTGTTCCCTATGACAGTTTTCATTACAACTTAACATTTTTATCCATAATATCTGACGTAAGCATTGAATTTTTCTAATCATTTAACTCAATTTTACTCTTTTTTTTTATTTTCGCTTACTTTTTACTTTCGTTCACTATTTTTTTTCTTTTATCTTTGCTTTTTTTCCTTTACTCAATTTTTATTTAACTTTCATATTACAGTCAGGGGATATACCAAATTAGGCAATCAGGTTCTGGAATAATCGACACGAAGATCCATGAATTTGAT